TTTATGTAATTTGTACATAAAATAACAACAACAACAACAATAATAATAATAATAAATTTTATTGAAAATATTTTTTTCAAAAATTATTTTATTTTATTTTCATTTGATAAAACGTATTAATAAATTAATATTTAAAAAATATTTATTTAATTAATATGTTATTGGGTTACATTTATGGTATCCATAAAAAGTCTGTGTAAACACATCTTTTGCAAGAATTGGATTATATTTATATTTGTTATACCTGTTATATCAAAAGAAAAAAATATGAAAAAATTGTAATAATATTAATATATTTTATGCATATTAGATAGGTTAGATACACACAATTTAGTGAGCAAATTTCCTCCATGTTAACACATTGTTGAATGACAATATAAGGATTTTTTTTGTGTGGCAAAAACACACGTTGAAATAAAAGATGGCGCTCTGGTCATTCTTCTCTGGATGGCATGATGCAAACTGAGAGCCACATAGAATTTCCTCCAATCAAATGTGTAGCATGTTCTTTGACGTCACGAGTATTAAACACATTTAGATGCCACACTCCTCGTCAAGGTCCCTTCATCAGGGCTCATGGGGGGGCTGTGAGCAAATCAAACGCTCATGCAAGACCTCTGCAAGTGTCCAGGGCACAGCAGCGTACATTATGGATGTGGCTCTTTAAATAGATAAAAGGACGGCTCCATCAGGTCACTCAGGCATAAAGCAGGTGGGGTGAGTGCAACACACGGGCAAGGAGAGAAACAGCTAAACTCACTTAAGGCCGCCCACATGCCCGACGCTCGCGCTGACACTTTGTTAACAGGCAGACACCTTGCATCCGCATCAGCAGTATGGGAATTAGTGGAAGCTCCAGCATTGGCGTAGATCTCCACCCTCCATCTGCATGGCTTCACACATACATAAGTGAACACAGCAACTCCTCACGGAGCGGTACGGTCCAAAACGCCCCAGGGCATCTCTCTACACTATTGGAGAACAGAATGGCTAAACTTCACAAGAAGCGCTCAGGGGGGCCGCATCCCCCATGGTGAACCTGACTTTGGGGAACTGGTTATGCATGATGTCATCGTTGCGGAATAAGCTGATAAGTTTCCGCCTTGCTGTCATGGTCGTCTCGACGGATTGGTTGCTGTGCGGTTGTTAATTACGTCAGCCATTCACAATGCAGCGCTGTGGCTCACGTACTTTCTGCTGCAGTGGCAGCTCCCCGAGGCTGTCTATTTTCATGTTTCACAAAGATACGGAATTGTATCTGATGACTAATGTACATGTGAGTTATTCGGTCTTCTGAGCTATATAATAAGCAGCTCCACTCCTACTTAATATAAAGAACGAACTCGATAAATATAGACATCAAACACTCACTTAGTATTATTAATCATAAACAATGTTAAAGGTCAAAGCACTGTCCCCTGGCATATAATCAGGGCATTAGTTGGTTGGAAGGATTGCGACTGTACTCTAAAGCAAATAAACCTCCCTTGCACATGCAGATGTAACACTGGCATTTGAAGCTTTTCTTCGTCAATAAACAGATAAAACCATCAAAATATTGATTGAGGAAATTCCACAAGATGAAATATTTATGAGCGTTCATAATGCCAGAACAGTATTACAAATCTGCAAATCCTCCAATCTTTGTCTGGGCTTTCCACTGCGCTTAGGGTGGAATCTCGGAGCACTTTCGTAGAGCTTGAGCAGATATCAATCTGAAATTGAAGCAAAGAAATTACACTGCTGTCTTGTCAATCCTACATGTCAGTGTTAATCTCAACAACGAAATTACTGAGGAAAATGTTAACAAAGGATTTTTGGTTTCACCACTGATGAAAATCAGATGAAAAATATATATCATAAGTATAGAGTTAAGTATTATATGTGTGTGTGTGTGTGTGTGTGTATATATAATGAATATATGAACTATATTTACATTTAGACATTTAGCAGACGCTTTTATCCAAAGCGACTTACAAATGAGGACAATGGAAGCAATCAAAATCAACAAAAGAGCAATGATATTCAAGTGCTATGACAAGTCTCAGTTAGCTTAATGCAGTACATGTAGCAAGGTTTATATAAATAAAATATATAATATAATTTATATAATAAATAAAAAGAAAACAGATAGAATAGAAAAAGAATAGAGCAAGCTAGTGTTAGAGGCCTTTTTTGCCTTTGTTAATTGTATAATAAATAAAAAGAAAACAAATAGATAGAATACAAAGATTAGAGAAGCAAGTGTTAGTTTTTTCTTTTTTAAGAAAACAAGCAGTTAGTAAATAAATAGAGTGCAAGTCTAAAAGGGGAAAGTTTTTTTTATTATTTTCTTTTTTTTTATAAAGAATAGAATTAGAATAGAGAGTGCTAGAGTTAGAGGGTCAAATAAGGTCGGAAGTAATGAATTTAAGTAAAGGGGTGCAGAGCCACTGGTGGTTTTGTAGGAAAACATTAATGCCTTGAATTTTATGCAAGCAGCTGATGGTAGCCAGTGCAAATTGATAAACAGAGGTGAGACGTGCATTCTTTTCGGCTCGTTAAAATTTAATCTTGCTGCCGCGTTCTGGATTAATTGTAAAGGTTTGATAGAACTGGCTGGAAAAAAGTTTGAAAATTATCACTGCACATTAGTGTATATACAGATGTTGTCAAAAGTTTACATAAACCTTGTACAGGTAAAAAAAAATTTTAAAAGATCATGAAATAGGCTTTATTATTATATTAAAATGTCATATAAATTAGATGCGATTTTTGTGATTAAAAATGTAAACAAATTATGAAATGAAATACTAAATTGATTGGATCTTTGTCAAAAAAGTGTGACAAAAAATGATCACTGCACATTAGACTCCAGTAAGACGCAAGAAATGAGAACAGATACAATAATGAGAACAAACAATTGATTTAATGAACTCAGCCCACCTACAGACCATTTGAGGCAACCTCTTTAGACGTATTACAGCACAAATCTGTTACTATGGCAACCCCACAATGACTTACCTAAATGTAGACCAACCCCCGCTCTCACACACACACACACACACACACACACGCACACGCTGTACTTGCATGTGCTGTAATGTGCTGGACTCTTTAAAACCACAATGATGCAGTCATATTGCATAAATATATGCCTGCTAAATATATCAGTGGAGAACCTGTGAAGTCAATTAATGCTCAGAATAACTGACGAGCTCCTGCTGCTTACAAGACCTCAGTCAACTGGCATGGGAGTGTGTTTTACAACGCAAGAGCTTTTAAGGAAATCTCTGGGCTAATTAGAGTAATTACTTGTACCTTTGCCACTGCAGTGGCGTGGCATATTGTGCTTCCTTAATTAAATCCGCACTCGGCTCCTGACCGGCAGGAATAATGGTGTTGTGTGTTACTGTGGAGACGCTGACTGATATCTCCGCTGTGGGAAGCATGTCTGTCTGACCATCTAATCTCGCACCCTTCAATGTGTCCGTGTGGATCCTTTATGGGTTCTGCCCGTCAAGCTGTGCTAGGAGTCCCAAGTCATACAGCAGGTTGGTAATTAGTGCAGCGCTGAACCCTGGTTGATTAGCCACTCATTACTCAGCAGTAACAGAAAAGCCTGGTGACCTAAATGAAGAGGAGTCAGGTGCCCATGGGGAAGCAGGGCATGGAGGTACAACAGTCCAACCCAATCAATCTGAGCTCAGAGCTGGACGAAACCAAAGGAAGAACACAAAGAAAACAGTTCCGAGTGGTAGTCAAAGGGCACAAACGCCCAGTTTGAGGTTAATGTTTTGCTTAAACTTTAAATTAAATGTAATATCTCTCAAATCCAACGGCAGTCATTTGATATTATTTAATTTATACAACAGCGAGTCTTTGACGCCCCTCTGGATAGACTGCTAATGGATTTTCAATTTGAATCGCAAAGACATGATTAATTTGAATTGCGCACTGACCTAGAAGGCAAAAGCTTTTGTATATCACATTCATGTTCTTAGCAAATGCTTTCCTAACAAAGCAATTTTCTGCATAAAATAGTAATACATAAAAAAGCAATACAAATAGCAAAATAGAGAAAATGATTGGACTCCATTCATTTGCATCAAAGCATTTTTGTTCGCTCAAAGAGAGAGAACAGTAAGAAGATAAAAAACTCCATCTGTATGGAACTATATATATATATATATATATATATATATATACACATACATAATATATACAGTATATATATATGTATGTATGTATGTATGCATGTATGTATGAATGAATGAATGAATGAATGTATGTATATATATATATATATATATAGTACAGGAAAATGACAAATACCTGTCTAAATTTACAGCACAGGAAAATGACAAAAACCTGTCTAAATTTACATTTGATCATAAAAACTGCTGAAGTAAATGAGGAACCAAAACAGATGAGATGTAAGTCTCAGACAAATTAACATCCTGACTAAAAAAAAAACGTAGCTGCATTTCCATTACCCTTCAAATTTTGCAAACTGAAATTGCGAATTGAAAATAGACCTAATGGAAGCAATTTCGCAAAAAACTCCCATATATCGCAAAAAAGTTTTCACACTCACATGAGGTGGTTTTTCAGGCAATTTGAAAAAGGAATATTTCTCAAAACTGCAATGGAAATTTACAGGTCACTTCGCGTATGTAAAATTCACATGACCGTTCTTTAATATACTATAACCTCCAAGAAATACCTCATACATGGTCGCTCTCAAGTATAAGGGGCTTTCCTTGCCATTAATGCTTGAATAATTTACTCTGCACATGTCTGTGGCGCATTACGGCGCATTGCGACAAATCTGCAAAAGGTTTTGCGATACGCTATTATAGTTTTTATTAATATTTTCAATTCATTTTTTGTTCTTTTCTTTTTTTAGTTATTTTGTTGTGTTTTTCTCATTTTTATTTTATTTTTAATGTCTTATTTTTATTTCAGAAGAAAAAAATATAATAAATGTTTCATGGTCAGCACAGGAAAATGACAAAAGCCTGACTAAATTGGCATGTCTTATCATAAAAACTGCTGAAATAAATGAGAAACCGAAACAACAGAGATCTGAGTCCCAGACAAATTAATATCTTGACTAGAAAAACAGACTTTCCCTGCACCTCTCCGTAGGGAGATGAGTGCAGCACAGCAGATAAAACAGACAGTTAATAAACTCGTCACTCTCTAAAGCTACATGGTAACAGATCTGCATGCTTGGCAGGTGTTAAAGGTGTTGACTACAGCATTAGTGCGCTTTAAAATGGGGATTGGACAGGCAGAGGATTTCGAGCTGTTAGATGGCCAGCTGGATGACTATTACGTGGCTAAAGCACAGTCTTCAAGAGATGCCAAGCTTTGGATACCAACGCAGAACAACATGGTTAGAGCTGATGCCAACATCAAACACTGTCATGCTTACTTTTATTTCACTTTACTTGCAGTTTAAGTAACACACGCAATATATCTCTTAAAAGGCTCTTAATTGTGGAACTCTATGGAATAAAAAAAATGAATCTGGAATGTAAACTTGAAAATCAATAATCAATTACTGAATCAATTCAAATAATATAATAACTGCAATCAATGCAGTCCAGATGTTTTTATTTTGAAGGTGTTGGAAGGTAGGATGATTGATTCTACTGGTCCAAAAATCAACACAATAGGATATCATACATCTTTTGCTTATTGGTTATTGTTGAATAATATTTGTTAATAATCTTTTTGTCCCATTTCCACAACAAATCTTCCATATAGGTTATAGGACCAGCTTTCAGGTGAAACATCACCCAGCATGATGTCTTTTGATTCAGCAAGTAATTCACTTAAATAATCAATTCAGCTCGTTCAAAAGATTGAGTTAAATCAATAACTCAAGAGTGAAATTTTGTTCGACTTTCAAATTGGTTCAAATGAATCATTACAAAGCTACTCTTGAATCAGACATCACTAGATGAAATTGCAGAACATGGTCGCTGATCAATTTAGTAGTTCATTATCTGAAAATAGCCAATTTGTCTCAGCTTCTCAGAGAAGTAGTGCAGTTGAGAACGGAAGGTCTAAACCGGACGTCAGGACTGAGCTGCCTTTTTTATAGAAGGAAAATAGGTGGGCAATTACCTAGATAATCTAAAGGGGTCATATGGTGTTGCTAAAAAGAACATTATTTTGTGTATTTGGTG